GCTGTAGCATAGGGGGTACGCGAGGTCAAACGCCCGAAATCGAACCCGTACGCGAGTCGTCGTACTGGGGGGATGAAGTCCCAGACACAATTCGGCGCCGGTCGACTAGGACGCACTACACACCCACGCGTTACACTACAACACCCACGTTTACCCACACATAACATACGGACACACACACAACAATCTCCACAAATAACACCGCAACACAACAACACTCCTAGTCCCTTTAGTATCCAACCCATAACTCTACGCAGTGAAAGTTGATAACTGACTTGCGCGAGGTTTAGTATAAGATCGCGCGAACGTAGGACCCACGCATACCGATTTATAATGCAGTTCTACGCAGATAAAAGCGATGACGGCGCACTATGTGGTGCCTATACCCGAATGGCCTATTCTGGGCCGTGGGGTGGCTCCCGACGCTCAGGCGTTGGCTGAAGCGCACGCTAAGGGGGGGTAACCCTTTAGTGGGCGCGAAATCGGCCTGAGGGTCTTTCCGTCTTCTGCACCCTTAGGTGTCCCAAAGGGTGCGGGGTAAGGCGGCCCCTAGGGCAGGAAGGAATTTGGAGCGGAGGTGAGTTGTCTGGCACATCACCATCGACACGCTAACCCTTCCGCCCGAAACTTTATCGTTCCACCAAAATAAACCCTAACAAGGAAAGGATACAAATACTTTTAGTATTATCAGAAAGAACACCGTCGGGATTAGCCCTGTGGGGGTTTACCCGAATGTCTACTTGGATTATCACCTCAACAGAACGGGGATAGCACAATCTCACTCAAACACAAAGGTTGTAAGGTAGTTCACTCTCACGACAGTCGTGTGGTCTGCCCATCTGAATCCATGCAATACCACTCAACATGAATCAATCGAGACTCTTCCATACATACCTGCAATCACACCACAATATCAAACAAAGATCCACATGCTACGCGGGGTCAATTCCAACCAACCTCTCCACTCATACCCTTCGCTTTAGTTAGACAAGCCCCAACCTCCAGCCAACCAACCATAATTAAGTACACAGTACTTCTGTTAAATGGTCATTCAATAAAAGTCTGGGTGAAACCTTAATGAAACAGATAAAGTCACCAGGGCTAAAGTCTTTTTAGGCTGAGTATTGAGGGTGAATTGGGTTTGAGTCGTAGACCGACGAATCGGCGACCGACCTGTTATCAGTGATAATAGAAGAATGATCCTTTTGACAATTTAGCTTGATCAGATCAAGCGTTCAAATGATAACACAGAAACCTTCATCACAGTACATGCCAAAGGAACGTAGTACTTATGTCTGTGCCAAGGGGAGATCATTCCCCTTAGTCGTACTCTAGCTCCTCTACTAGTACCAATTAGTTGAACACCTCCTTTAATCAGTTAGGATCTGCTAAGTAACTCCTAACTGAAAAATATTCTAAATCCCAAAATTTCACGAAATTCCAGGAGCGCTTCCCGTAGGAAAAGTGTCTTTTCATAATTTATAAGAGCCCAAAAATGACTAACTCTTTCAAATTTGTAAAAATTTCGGCAGCGCTTCCCGTAGGAACAGGAGGCTACCACAATTTATACAAAGCTGAAAAAACAGAAATACAAAGCAACTACACTTGGGACTAACTTTTGACACCTGCCTGATGACTCAGGCTCAATGGCAACCAACACAACCTCTAGCTGAGGCTGTGGGCTAGCAGTGGGCCTAACTCCCAGCAGGGTCAATCTTACCTTCATCCCAAGTTTCTCTCCCATCATCCATCTAGTCAACCTATAGCTCCAACACTTGGTGAGCAACTAAAGCAACTAACCTATCGAAAGGACACCCCAAGTGAGACCCTATAATCATACATGAGCATGCATCTCTCACAATCCCACATACATTTGCCCAAGTAGTTTGTTAGATCACTCAGTTGTTCCCTTTCAATAACCCCCTCACTTATGGCATAGGATCAGACAAGGCCCTAACTTAAGGGTATGTCCAACCTGCCTAA